CCCCTCCAATTCTTTGAGCATTCTGTTGGTAGGGGTGTTCCCCCCTCCAATTCTTTGAGCATTCTGTTGGTAGGGGTGTTCCCCCCTCCAATTCTAGCCAATTCAAGGGTGACACAAGTTGAGAAAGTGGCAGGATTATGCAGTTCAGGGTAGGAATCATGGAACATGAACCCTAACTGACAAGTCTAATGTGGAAAGCCAGCCTCATCCTTCAAAAGAATCAAAACCCAGTTAGCCAGATAACATTATTATGTGGGTGCGACGAGCAGCAAACGAGGAAGAGAGAGAAATGAGAAAAAGGATCGGTGGGGTGGGCGAGGTGTGGTACAGTCAGGAGAGGTGAGATTGACCGCATATGCTGTGTTTGATGATTGATTTTCAAGAGTTTCGATGGAATCAACTATCACAATCGTCAGTAAAAAAAAAGAGGATTTGAATTCTGAATTTTGAAAAGAGTACCTATTCTACATCTTAATCATGCAAGAAGTATCGACGCTTGGAAAGCAGAAGGCCAAGTGAATTTAATCCGTGAAACGAAATGGGGTTTAGGTGAAAGTGTTTGGAAGTTTCACTCTATTGAATATACAGCTGAACTTCGTGGCTGAAATTGCCTGGATGTTTGATTGTCCCTCTGTCTTAAATTTTGTGATGTGATTCTCAAAGCAGGTTCCGTTTGCAGAAGGGGAACCTCAGCATGTGCAGGCGTTGACGCTCGGACTGTTTGAAGACAGTGGATGGTTCGTCTAAGCTCCCGAAATCATTAAGCCTTCACCTTAGCTAGGCAACAGGCATAGTACTCCGTTCTCAATTTTTTGGAGCTTGTGCACATGCATCAGGTTGCTCGCACCACATAATTACGGGGCGTCCTTCAGCTACTGGGCATCGTCGGTTTAACCCCCACAGTCTCCTCTTGCCATGGACATACGCATTTGTGACGTGATGTTGCGCCATGCATTGCGTCCAATTTGATTTTGTAACTTAACAGAAGTGGCGCTCAACATAACAAGCAATATGCCTCAACCAGACCCTGATAGCTGCCCTTGTCATCAAGCATTTCCACGCTGTAATATATATTCTTGACGGGTCATGTGGCCACAGTAGAGTACGCTATTATACAAGACACATTTGCAGGCTCTCTCTTCTTTGAAGGCTCCAAGTATCACCGCAATGCCAACACCACGGATGTGATGAAAGTAGCGAGGCTCGGTCTGGATGGTTACATAGTACATTACCAAGTTCTAGCAACCATGTTAAGAAAAAGAAAGAAAAAAAGATCAGCATCCAATAACGAATGAGTCAGTAAAATTGCTGACAGTCGCTCCCAGCTGTGCAGATGGCGGACTGCAATTCTTTCAAAATGCCAGCATAATTTCTCCAGTTTTGCGTACCCACTGACCCCCCATATAACTTGCCTGATCTACACTCTCATACATATGTCCTAGTGGCCTCCGCGTGACATGCTTGAATAGTTGTGAACGTGAACCAGCTGTAATGAACCCAGTCTGACAGATACCCAGAAGTCGTCAAATCCCCGTATAGTCAGTATCTGCAACCAAGACTCCAACTCGTGAAGAGATATATCAAACAGTATCTCATTGTCATCAATAGAAGAGAGGGAGGGGGAACAGACAAAGGAGAAGATGAAGATTCACACAGTTATCCCTTCTGAACCCTCTCCTTCTCCGGGCTTCTCCCCTCTCCACATCATCAATGATAATAAGTATATTCCTGATCATACACGATAGTGCCACGTGGCACTCAATCTCATGAAGACCATGAAGACATTGCAGATTCCAGTATCGACTTCAAACCCAGGTGAGTACCCGTTCTCCTTCAACCACAGATCCCTATCTTCCTCCTTCCTTGCAACCAGTCACCTGATGTAGACAGCGTGGACAAGGCCGCGTCAACCATCGAACAGGTGGCAATCGCTACATCACCAATGTAGACCAGTAGCAACGCCACATCAGCATGCCACGTAGACCAGAGGCAGCGCCACATCAGCATGCCACGTGGACCAGAGGCAGCGCCACGTCAGCATGCCATGAAGACCAGAGGCAGCGCCACATATANGCAGCGCCACATATACCAGAGGCAGCGCCACATATACAAGAGGCAGCGCCACATCAGCATGCCCCGTAGACCAGAGGCAGCGCCACATCAGCATGTCATGAAGACCAGAGGCAGCGCCACATATACCAGAGGCAGCGCCACATTAGCATGACATGAAGACCAGAGGCAGCACCACGTCAGCATGGCCTGGCGCACTAAAGAAGCGCCAGAATGCTGCCTCCACCTCGCGCCGTCGTCCGCAATGCTAGCGCACAACCAGCATGAAGCCAGTATCGTGTCAAAGTCGAGCCAGCGTCAAAGCAGCATAGAAAGACTGAATGCTTGACCCACTCGAGGTCTGCCTTGAGTAGCAGTCGTCGAGGCTGTCTGGCCTCGGGTGCCTTTCCCACAGTCGTCCAGATTGACTCACATCTGAAGGCCCGGATTGTACAGTTGCAGACTTCTCCCTTGGACCTGATGCTGTCTGGGTACCTGCATACAAACAAGTGTGTGAGCTTGACCAGCGGCCTGGGCTGGGTACCTTTGGAGTTTGACTGTTGGAATTTCCAACAGTTGACCAAAGTCAACTGCCTCACGTCCAGGCCCTGAGTCCTTATGTTGGGTTGTGTGCCCCTTTCGGCCTGGGCTGAGGATGGCTGGGTTGGCCCTCAGTTTCCACGAGACATATGGCATGGGTTATTGCACAGCATTCCTGCTAGCATGTCAGCAACATGTCATGTAATCATCAATGTTTTCAGGAGGCTGTCATGGAGAGTATGTGTCTCTGCTGTCTGGACTATCCTCTCTGTTCATGTCCCACATGTAATATTGGGCATCCGCCGACAGCACCTGTAAATAGACCCACTCCATCCTTGACAGATGAGGAGCAGATGCAGCATCCTGAGGCGGAGAATAGACTTTCACAGGATCCATCTAGAGTGCGCCGTGCTGAAAGTGTATCAGGGCCAGGGCAAGCAGTTGCAGACCAGGCCTTGCAATAGCTCAGTACCCTTACGACGGATCAGGCCAACTCATCGTCTGCCCATAGAGAGGGAAAATCGGTTATGGAACCCGGATAAACTTAACTTGATCCCGCACTGTGATGGCTCACCCTGAAATTCAGTTAGCATGTGGTTGGCATGCTTCGTGTCGTGATGATTACATGGTACAGCCCGTGCAAGTCTTTGCTTTCATAGTATCATACGTATAATGGCAGTCAACATTTTACTTGGGTGTAGACAATGGCTGCAAAGTCAGTACTCTTATACAATTGCAGTCAGTGTGCCTCTGCATTCCTAGCATTCAGCAGCCATGTCTGTGACATTTGTCTGCCCCACACCATTTGATGCAGCAACTGCAACTGCGATGACTGGGTGCGGTGTTTCCGCAGCTCACTTTCGAAACGGCCCTGACTGGATGCGGTCCACCGTTCACATTCAAAACGGTCCCGTCTGGTCTGCAAGGGTGGCCATTTGTCATAGGCAACACCCGCTCCTCAAGTCCTTTTCTCGGCAAGCCAACACTGATTGGCCTGATGTGCGATTCTGTAGTAGTGTGCGCTGCCGGTGAATATTGAGAACCCTGTGACGTTAGGGTTTTTTCCTCGTTCTGTTTCTTCTTCCCCCTATCTCCCCCCTCTTCCCTTTCTCCCTCCTCTTCATCTTCCCTCTATCTCCCTCCCCTTCCCTTTCTCCCTCCTCTTCTTTTTCCCCCTATCTCCCTTTCCCTTTCTCCCTCCCCCCTACCCCTGTGCAGAACTACTAAAGGCATACAAATGAGCATCATAAAGACAATAGACAAAATATTCTTGAAAATAATAAAATATACATGCATCGTAAAGAGAACAGACAAAATATACCCCTCCCCCTTCACTCTGCCTCCATTTCATAGGGTGCAAGTGGGCTGTTATGGCACACAAGGATGTGTGCGTGTTACATGCCCAGTTGGGTGATGTACATAATAACCGAGGATCCGCAATGTGATAAAAAGGACTGAATGGACAATGCAGTGCAAGAACAAGCAGTGTACATTCTGATACATACAAAAACGGTGCTTTATAGTGCAGGGAAGACTTAGATACAAGTCCTGACCTGACTGAGACTGACCTCTATCACGTGGTGCAAGATAGCGTAGCCGAATGCTAGAATATCAATGACCAGCCCAATCAATGTTGCAATGCAGACTAAACCTGCATCATTCTCATCACAAGGTGTGAAGAGACCTGGCGCTATACACGGGAAGAAGGCGCCAGGCCCTGATCATGCACAGACGAAGAGGAGGGGCACAGACGAAGAAGAGGGGAAGAGATGGGAATGTCGTCAACACCAAGTCTTTGTCACCAAGTCCCAAATAATCCCTCGGCAAAATGTCTGAAGCCCAAATGTCGAGTCTGGATCCAAATGTCACCAAGCTCTCTCTTTCTCTCGTAGTCTGCTGATGCAGTGAAGTCAGGTAGCGAGAGGGTGAGAGGGAGATGGTGGACTGAGAAGAGGAAGAAGGTCTCTCTCTCTCTCTCTCTCTCTCTCTCTCTCTCTCTCTCTCTCTCTNTCTCTCTCTCTCATATGCCAGGTACTAACCTGTGAAGATGGCGCTGTGCTGCAGGTACCTCGAAGACGAAGCTGGAGCAACGGCGCTGCAGGTAAGTCTCCCTGGCCTCCGCCCAATACTGCTAGCGCTACTACTACTCCTGCAGCGCTCCTCCAGAGTGCTTCTGCCGACCCCTGAAGACTACCTCCTGCCTCCTGAACTGCACGTGAAGTGCCTGGGAAGTACCTAGGAACTACCTGCCGGCCTGCAGGGCGGGCCAGTCCTATATAGTGCTGGCCCGTCCAGGAGGCTGCTCTTGCCAATGTCACAACGTGCCAGACCCTGGGGTTGAAGCTCAAACAAAGGTTGTCTTGAAAATAGGCCAGAAATGACCTGAGCTAAAACCCTGGTCTGGTGCCTGAGTTTCAGGGCAGGTCGGTCTTATGAGGGCCTGAAAATGGCCCTCAGTTTCAGGCTGAAAACACTCAGGGCCGGAAAGGCGCTGATTTAGCCTGAAACGACACAGGGCCTGTAGGCCCTTGTTTTCAGGCTTTCAGGCTGAAACGACACGGGGCCTGTAGGCCCTTGTTTTCAGGCTAAAGGCTTTTAGCCTGAAAACGTCACGGGCCTGAAAAGTGGCCCGTGCAGCCTGTTGCAGGCGCAGCATGTAACAGTGCGCTTGCATTCAACCACAATGCGAGGCATAGTGGAAAGGGAGCTGCAAGAACAAACGGCAGAAAATCCTGAAAAAAGCCAAAGAAAAACAGCTGCACAAGGAAAAGGCAAGAGAACGGCTTTAGTGGGTTCATGTTCTTTGCTACAGAAGACTAAGGTGAGGCTGTCTCAATTTTGGATATACTGATCTGGGCTGAAAAGGGGTTGTTGTGGTGACACACGCAAACCCTGATTGGTCTCGTGTTCCATTCTATACATAGCTACGCCGGACCGAATCCGGACCCCGGACCCCGGACTTCCCGGCGACATCCGGACTTCTGGAAAACCGGAATATTCCGGAATATCCGGACCGGTCCGGAACCCCTGTCTGGATGCACGTCCGGAACCCTTGTATTTTACGGAAGAAAGAAAGAGAAAAAAAAAAACAAAAAACTGTGGAGGAAATGCTCGATCTCAGGTCTGCATCTCAACAGTTCATGGGCGTGCAACAGAAGGCTCAATTATGCCAATGGGCCGCATTTGCTATATCCGCGGCCCCAGGTAATTCAGAACTATTTCATTCTGGTCATCTGATTGTATCTGGATTCGAACTTGGGTCTGTATTTCAACAGGTCGTGGGTGTGCAAAGTGGGCTAGGCCCGTTGGAATGCCGTTGGCAAAAAAGAACTAAAAGAACCCGCCAAGTGGTGGGCAGAGGGAAACGTGGAACAGAAAGTCCCTCCCAACCCGTTGCAGGCGCCTCTTCTGATGGGCGATTTTTTCTTTCTTAAAATGGCACATTCGTTTTTGTTTTTTTTCTGTTGTTCTTGTCTGTCGTTTGCCGGAATGCACAAAGCGTGCAATCCTCGGAAGGTGCGCACGCGTTGAAAGGACAAGCCATGCCAATCTGCCAAAAACAAGGAAAAAAAACAACAGAAAAACGAAACAAAATTGGTCCCGTTGGAGAGCGGCCATACAGCTCGGCTCCACTACTCACCATATGCACAAAAGACAAAGTGTGGTGGTGTATCTTTCCATGTTGTAGCAGAAGATTCATTGTCATTTTGCATTTGGTGAGTAGTGGAGCCAGCCCCAAAGCCCCCAGAGTCATTGCAGGCGCCCGTTCTGACAGGTGCTGGTTTTTTTTGTTTTTTTTTTTTCGCTGTTTTCTTTTTGAAAGTAGGATCTTCTTTTTTCGTTTTTTTTTCAGACTTTCTTCGTTTTGGGGGGCAACGTGGGGGGAATGCAGTAATGTACTAAGCAGCCTATCCCGGGAAGATACGGCTGCATCTGATAGTCCACAGTTCGTTTGCTTTGAAATGAGTGCAGGGCGGAAAAGAAAACTTAGGGCCTCAGTCCGGCCCTGTCTGGACGCCGCATCTAAATCTTAAAAAAATGCCCAGCATTTTTCTACAGCGGCCCAAAATGGAAGAAAACGACCTGGGCTGCCTGAAAAAATTCGGGCTACCCCCCATTTTCCCACCATCCGGACCAGGATCCGGAAACCTGGACCGGACACCGGACACCGGTCAGTCCGGATCCCTGTCCAGCTGTCCGGATTGTAGCTATGATTCTATAGCAGTATGCCTGACGGTGAGTAATGAGAACCCTCCAAAGTCTGTCTTTCCCCAGTTCTATTTCATCGCCCCTCCATGTCCCTCCCCTTCCCGTTCTCCCTCCTCCCTCCTCTCATGCGGAAATGGTTACCGAATACTAAATGCAGGACATATACTTGCTGAGTTACCAACCTACATATCGTCGTTTTTACACGTTGTGCTATAGATGGACCAACAGAGGGTGTTCCTTGTTTGCAATAGCATACGAGGTATGCACTAGACCGAACTCGTACAGGAACCGTTAATCAGGGAATTGTTGAGCGCATTAGCTCAAATGCACAGAGGGCGACACTAAGTCCCTCTCGGCCATGTCATGTATGAGTAAGAAAATTTACGCATACTAACAAAGCTTTGTCGCCCCTGCCAAGTGCACCAGCTATACCTCTCCAACTCTCCTATGAAAGGATACCTGAGGAGTTATCACCATCCTCAGGCGGGCGTATCACCCGACGACATACAACATTTCGGAATCTCTTCCTCTTCAACCTCTTTTGCGCCTCCTCCCTCTCCTCTTCCTCCCTCATTCTCGGTTCTTCTTTGCTTCTCCTTCATTTAAGCGGAATATGTTGTGTGGTTCGGAGTGTAGAAACAGAGCACAACAACTAAATTAGGAAGCTGTATGACGTTTTTTTGGTCCTTGTAGATATGACACAGACCATAAAATTTATGCCATTGACTCGTTTTCCGATTCTCATGCGTTGTTCTTTCCTCACATGGTCACACCCTTGCTCTGATATTGCCCTGATGATTTTGCTCTCCGTGGTGTGGAATCAGGTACATACCACATTATGAGATGTCATCATTTTCACAATGGGGGTTCATGAAGGGCTGTATGTTTGCCAAAGGAAATTGCACTCCCACTTACAACGGTAAGGGTTAGCCAGTGGCGTTATGCCTAATTTCCTCCAAGCATGACATCTGCATTTTGCTTCCTGCAAACATTTCTCACCATTATTCTGACGTATGCCCCTAGGAATTCTCACACCTTTCCAGGGACCAATTAGATACTCTAGAACTCCCGACAAAAAAACCCTATTGGACCAGCAGAACATAACAGAGCTCGAAGTTTATGAACTGCGGGAAAAAAACTAAACAACAACAGAAGTGTAAAAGGAAAGTATAACAGTAACTATCCTGGAGTTGACCATAACAAATCTGTGGAAAATTAGAATATGGAAGCAAAAGGAAAAGCGGACAAACACAAGGAGAAACTGCAGGCAAACAAGGACAATACTCTACAGACCAGATAAAGACAGTAGAGAAGTAGAAGTAGACCAAATACAATGGGACTGGTACATCCAGTTAGGCAAAAACAAAGTGAGGAAGCTAATTAACCACCAAGACTGTGAAGTCAAAATAGGCTACAAAATAAGAGAGAACTCGATCGACCCACGCCACATTATCTCAAACAGATGGGTCAAGCATTTGGGAGAGGAACATGGTCGGTCAGATTCGAGAGCATGGGATTTTTACAGCAATATAAAAGTTACAAGTGGACCCGCCGCAGCGAAGGACGATGACAAATACATTTTGTGAAACACCCCACCCATCAGTTGGACTCCATCTTTGCAATGTACCCGTACTGGACGCTGCCCAACTTTGCAAAATGCCCCGGCAGTTGCCAAGTTTTCGCAGGCGCAACTGCAAAAGGCGAAGAGAATTTGCACACCCACCTGACAAGGGCATAGCAGAAACATGTCAGGCCAAAAGGCCATTCCACTGTGCCCATATCTCTTAGGGACATTTTGACGTATGTCTCAACTTCTGGGGGTATGTGGAAAATAACCCCCCCACACAAAAAAAAGAGACTCTCTCTCTCTCTCTCTCTCTCTCTCTCTCTCTCTCTCTCTCTCTCTCTCTCTCTCTCTCTCTCTCTCTCTCTCTCT